GACAATCCCATATCAAATGGAAAATATATGTGCAGCATAGCAGCATGCCAGCGCAGAAGAGCAGCAGCGCTCTACTCCGGCTGCAAGGAAGGTACAATGAGGAACGTATCCGAACTGTTGTCTTTAGAGATGCCGCCTGCAATCACAAGCCAGTTTAATCAGTATCTGAGATCTTTAGAAAAGGGTAGCAGAACACCAATAGCCGCCAATTAACATGGTCAACAACTAATACGGGACTAGATTCATAATGTGGAGACTTGACTATATTGATAACCTATTGTATTTATTTTTCTCTTTCCAAAAGGTACTCAGAAGGGGAAGAGAACTCCTGCAACTAAGGAGGACGAGCAGGACCATGAAGCACAACTAGATGATGGTCAACTAGTTGATACTGGGCTTTTTCTTCAAGAGCTATATGACAGAAGAAACAAAATGGATTTTGGTACAAAACAATGTTATCCAGATCTGTAGTATTGAGACCCTCAATTCTCACCATCTTGGAGAAATATGCAGGGTATGAAGACAAGGTGCGCACTGGTCACCTCGGCAAGACCGCCACATTCTGGCTCAGTGTGATAGACCACACCCATCTGATCCTAATGTTGCAGAATTCTGTAAAGACTAACAACTTGGCCGTCTTCCACAAGTGTAACGGGGATATGGCAGACCTATTATTTGCGTACGATGGATGCCCGGCTGTGTTGCCTGAGCAGCCATTGTTTACAAAATTGCCTAGCTTAGCCTCGTTTTTGTGCGATGACCCCCAGGTCATGAATAATAATTAAGAAGGGTCTATTAGCGAAGTAGTAAGACAAAGAACAGTATTGGGTCCGTCCATGTGCTGTACCACCCTGGACCAAATAAGCAGTGGAGGATATGATGAACATTGCATTGTGGGGGGGGATTGTGTAATTGACGGTAAACACATTGCCCTTCGCGCTCCAACCAAATCAGGTTCAGTGTTTTATAATTACAAGCATTTCTTCAGCATTGTGCTAATGACACTCGTAGATACTGATTATAAATTCATATATATCGACGTTGGGTGCGACGGGAGTGTCAGATGGTGGGGTCTTCAGTGGCTGTATTCTAAAGGAAGCTTTAGACCAAAGACTAGCTAATCTAACCGAAAAATCACCCCTCCCTGAAGATGGAACGCTGATGTCTTATCACATCCTTGGTGACGAGGCATTCC